GTGGTTCGTGGTTTAGTGAATTCAATGTAGAAATTGGTGCGCGAAACTTTGACTGGTTCCAGGTTGAAAGTCGCCTGGGAGCCCCCCCACTGCACAAAAGGAGCGGTCCAATAAGAAGAGGGTCTCAATTTGGCGCCCACAATGCTTGCATTTGCAGACGGATGCAGCAGGGCAAGTAGGAGGGGGAAGCCCTAGCACGTGATTTTTATCGGCGCCCTCAAGCTGAATTACCCGAGCTTTACCAGGACCCACCACACCGATTGTACCTCGTCGTCAACTTTCCGCGATTCCTCCCACCAAGAACTTTCTTCTTTCCCTTCCTCAACCACCACATCTTCAGGTTGCTTAGGACGGCAATAGTCATATTGTCTAGGTACGTCTGACCAACATTGCGACGCCATCATATTTGCGTGCATTGTTTTCCCTACTTCCTCTACGACAGCATCTCGCACGCTTCCTGCTCGGTCGCATCGCAGTGCTGCGGCGCATTTCCTCCCATTGCGAACATTCCCAAATTCCACGTCTCAACCTGCATCCACATCACCCACCTAAACTCAATAGCATTTTTCGTTCCTGGAATTATCCGCTGATTCTCAATTTTCCACCTATTAGGCAATCATGCAGATCTTCGTCAAGACCCTCACGGGCAAGACTATCACCCTTGAGGTGGAGTCGAGCGACACCATCGACAATGTCAAATCCAAGATTCAGGACAAGGAGGGAATCCCCCCCGACCAGCAGCGACTGATCTTCGCCGGCAAGCAACTCGAGGACGGCCGCACTCTCTCCGACTACAACATCCAGAAGGAGAGCACTCTTCACCTCGTCCTCCGCCTTCGTGGTGGTGCGAAGAAGAGAAAGAAGAAGGTCTACACTACCCCCAAGAAGATCAAGCACAAGCGCAAGAAGACCAAGTTAGCTGTGCTCAAGTACTACAAGGTCGACGGTGATGGCAAGATTGAGCGTCTGCGCCGCGAGTGCCCCAATGACACCGTGAGTTACTACGTACCCTTTGACAGCTACCACATTTATACTAATGCTACATGAACAGTGTGGTGCTGGTATCTTCATGGCTGCTATGCAGGACCGACAGTACTGTGGCCGATGCCATCTCACCTATGTCTTCGACAAGCAGTGAATGTTTCTCTCAATTGGCATTACGAATGCATGAGGTCTGGGAGTCGGAACACTAGGACAGGGTTCATGGTTTATTTATGATAGGACATGGTGACTTGGCTCAGTCCCAATGCAAAGAAATTCATCAAAAATTGCAACCGTGTTTGTACTGTGAATATCTTAATGCTGCCGCTGAGGAGCTGAGCTCTGCGTACTCGTCCATTTGTCGTTTCGTAGTCTTTACATGGGTAACGTGGATTGATCACGATAAGCGTATCGCGTTTCTCATCCTTATGCCATACGACGCCTATTTTCCCTGTACTCCGTTCTATCCCCTATTGAAGTCAGGAATTGGCAATGGGTATTACATTAACAGTAGGACCCATCTAATACCAATTGTATATACCACTACAGACGCCAGCCTCATCCATGTATATGGCAACATATTTTCATCCTGTGCTCCCTTTTCGATCCGTGAACCAAATTATGTCGCCCTAATTATTAGGAAATCCAGCCCTGAGGTTATCATACTTAGTATGCGGATACTCGATACAATTCCGCGTGCCATCCAGCGCCCTCGGTCCGCCTAAAACATCAACCACATTCGCGATTAAGCTTTCCCTGCCCTCTTTGTCTGCGCTGCTCTCCCACCACATGGCCCCGCCCAGCCGTCGGTCTTCGCGCACGTAATGCGCCTTGCGCCGCGCCATCACCACCGTGTCGTAGCTGACTAACGTGCGGGTGCGTGGATCGTAACAGTAGCTCGCTCCCGCCTCCCTGTCGATGTGCTCCGTGGCACCCGGAAGAGGCAGCTTCTTGTAGTCGTGCACGCCGGCCTCCCACGTACCCTCGCCTATGCCGTTATACGGCGCTCCGGGTCCGTCTGTGCCTTGGAATGCGCGCCCGTACAGCGGCATGCCGAGAACGATTTTGTGCGGCGCCACTCCGTGCGATACGTAGTAGTCGAGCGCCGCGGATGTGCTGAATGGCGTGGAACGCGGGTTCGATGCGCTGGGGAACAAGTTGGCTTGGTGCCCCGACGTCGAGTCCCACGATCCCGCGTAGTCGTACGCCATCAGGTTCCAAAAGTCCAATAGCCGGTCCATACCGGGCAGGTCCAGCTTCCCGTAGTTCTGCGCGCCGGCGGGGCAGGCAACGGTCAGTTCAAAGTGGTAAGGGGTGGGCAACGTGCGACTGTAATTATCCATGGCCTCCCGTACGGCGCGTAGCAATGATACAAAGTCGGCGGCCTCCGCGGGCGACTGCGGGTACTCCCAGTCCACGTCGATGCCGTCGAACCCCAGATTTTTGATCAATTCTACGCAGGAGTTGGCGAACGTGGCGCGGCCCTGAGGAGTAGAGGCCGGCTGCTTGAAGTTGCTGCTGTACGTCCAGCCGCCGACTGATAGCAAGACCTTGAGGTGGCGATGTCGACGCTTAAGCAGATTGAGCTGCTTGAGGCAGCCGTATAAGTTTGTGCCCACGTCGTTCCAGCTGTCGCCCTCCCAATGAATATCCGTGTCGGCCCAGGGGTCAGTAAGGTAGACCTCACCGGAGTCGGGCCGCACGTTGGCGAAAGCGTAGAGGATGTGGGTCAGCTTGTCGACCGGGAGGTCCTGTGGCCGATGCTTGCGGCCGTAAATGGCCCAGTTGACGAAGTACGCCACTGTGCGGAAGTGGTGGTGCTCTGGACCGCCTCCCATTTTCACTCTTGAAAGCAGGGATTCTAGATTCGAAGGGAATATGTCTGGAATAAGATGGTGCGGAGTTGTAAAGAGACCCGGAGAGATGTGGTACGAGAATAAGGAGGGGTAAAGATATGTAAGTAAGAAGGCAGTTAATAATACCGTCACGGAGAAGAAGTAAGGGAAAAGAGGTCTGATATTGGGCATATATCAGGTTTTGGGAGAAGTATGAGTTTTATAGGTTGAGTCTCTATTTCAGGATAAGAACCTAAGTTATATGATGATACGTCCTCTTTGACTTGTCTCGTAGTAAAAGCCTGGCAAATCTACCGTGCAAGTCCAAGTTCAGGTTCCAGTTCAGCTCAAGCTGTGTGGCTTGGAGCTTGTGTGTACGAAGTGGCGATGCAAGGCAGCTACGTACATGTATGTATGTACCTACAGGTAGTGACCTGTAGCTCGTAGTCGCAGCTTCTCTGGATCCAATCAACTCCCCAATATTTGCGCAAGTTACTATTCGCAGTAAGTCAAAAACTTCCTTGTAAGAGTTCTAGCTTTACAACAAACGGAAAGAGTGAGGTGGGGACGGGAATGATTGCCTGCAGATGGCATGCCAGTCACCACAGTTGCCGCAAGTCCGGGGACAACGAATGTGTCATTTACCCGACAAATCGCCGATGCATCTCCAGTGCCCAGCTAACATCCCTGTACTTAAGTTAAAGTAACGTTCAATTTTACCTACATGTAGTTACGTCAAAACAAGGTACCCGTACGGACCTTTTCGCGGAAGCTCATGACCTCCAAGTCCTAGCGACAACAACTTAAGATATCTAATTCCAATTCAAGCTTGATCAATATGAAGATGCTAGATCCCTCACAATTTGACCGTATTTTCGGTTCCCTAGACCCGTTCCCCTACAATCGCGCGTTCGTTCATCATCTCGAAAGCTCGCGCCGAAGTCTTGAGGGTGCTCTGTTTATTGACCGAGTATTGAAAGCTCTGAATCTGTCCAAAGGTATATACATACTCTTACAATTCCCACTTAGTTATACTTATAAACCTCGCTCGGGTGCTAATGCTACATGTGTGCATAGCTACCAGTCACTACCCTCCCAAGAATAAGGACGCCCTTCGACAGCTGTATGTACACATATGCGAGAGCAAGAATGCCACCGTCCACCACAAGCTCTCTGTGGTCTACTACCTCCTTCTTGACGTCGATGATCGAAACGGGTCTCATCAAGCCGAAACCTATTCTCAGCGTGCCAGCATCCCCAAGAAATACAAGATCTTCATGAAGGGTTTGTGGCACATGGACGCGCTGCAGTTTGACCTCGCCCTGCAATATCTCACACATCCCTCGCTACAACCCGACTTCGTCGACGACATCATCACCGTCCTAGTCCGCAACGCGAAGAATGACGACTACAGTCTCGCTCTTGGCTATTATCATACTGTTCAGCCCGTTATCCAGTCGTCCCATGCATTGGAGATGTTGTTCGACGCGCTCGCGCGATCCAGTGTTGTAGACGCGTTTCAGTTTTCACGATCCCACGCCGATTATATGCGCCGTCAACTTTTCCAGCGTCTCGTATTATCTGTACTAGAGACTGCTCATAGAAAGGAGACTGTCAACAAAGCGCTAGACCTGACGAGCCTACCGTTCGATGCACAGGAAGAGCAGTGGTTCAGGGAATTCTTGGAAAGCGGCGAAGGGAAGAGATTACCAGGGGCCAATGATACTCTTCTCATGCGAAAAATAGCCACAGGTCATGTCGGGCATGGGGGTGATCCTGGTAATTGGGGTGCGATTCTTGAAGGTTTCAAGACAGGAAGTGGAGGTCGTATACAGGCTTGATTGAACCGGGCCTGTCGTATCGATTCATCTTTTCAAGGTTGCATAGCGCCGGCGTTGGGGTTCTGCTAGACTACGTAGCCTAGCTTGCGATATTGAAAAATATAATGCTTCTCACGAACTATCCTATGGAATATGACCGCTACCTTTGTGTTCTCTTCTCCGTTCTATGTGCTCTATACTTGTAACGTCTCTGTCACATCCAAGCCAACTACAAAACTGCTATTATCTGCAAAAGACGGGGAAAGAGCGCTCTGTGGCCTGTAGACACTCACAGCAAAAAGAAATTAAGAAAGTACCTAAATACCAAAAATTAAGGTTCACCAGGGAGGGGCGGCAAAAGTAACTCCGAATCGGGGAATCGAACCCCGGGCTTGACGGATCCAATGATTGGGGATTCATGAGAGCGTCAAATGTTAGCCACTACACCAATTCGGATTGGTCCATGACAAATCCTTTTTTATTTGACAATATATGTTAGGCACCTATGCTGCTATGCAACACTAGAGACGGGTCCATAAAAGTCCCGAAAATGAAACTTGATTGGATATTGATGCCAGATGCGAACATCCAACATGTTGGTGCTGCCATCTCGTACTGTATGGCGCAGGAGGCCGATTTACCTATGAAAAGGTCTCTTCAAATGCTCGGGCTTTTCCCCTAGTTACTTGCTCATAGTCCTTCTTACGGCCAATACTCAACTCGACATTAGCAGCGACGAAAAATGACTCATCTACACCCGGGCCAGGAGACATAGACTCAGAAGAACGGTCCCCAGTCTTTCTAGAGAGGATTGGATGCTGTCCAACCACGCCAAAGCCCTTCTGCGAGACAGACGAGTGTCGAGGGAATAGTCCGGCTTACCTCTGCCAAAGCACCAGTCTGGTACAGTTGAACGAGCAAATGTGGTCCTCGCCAGCTGCCTGTGTTGCTCTGACCGTTTCTATATCCCGTGCGCCGATCTGGACTGCCAAGCGCCCATTGGAAGTAGTATATGTCAAGCAGAAAAGCCCCAACGTCTTCAAGTGCTGCGCTCACAAGCACTACTGGCAGTTCTACATTGAGCACTGTGCTGACATCTTATGAGTTGGTAAATCAGTCAATTCATGCTATGCCCTTCGACGTGAGCCTATTACAACTCCTATCTACTTAACACTACCAAGGAATACATGTATCACCAGAATCGCCGCGGACCGTACAATTCGGTCCATCGTCATCGTCATCGTCATCCTTAGTTGAAATTGGTTCTGGTGGCGGAGGGGTCGTTTTCTGCGCCCAAGAGTAGCAGGTTGGTGTCGCTGCGCAAACGGATCCATGGCCAGCTCCGTTCCAAAGACAATCGGATACGGTACCACTGGATGCGCACGTGTTATCGGTAGGGGAGGCTGAAGTCGGCGGCTTTGGCAATGGGATTCCCGTGCAGTACTTTTCCGAGATCTGCACCCAGCCTGTTGGTGCGTAATTCGAGCCCCCCCCCCCCCCTTCCCCCTCTCCCTTTCTCCCCCGTTGATGATGTTTTAGAACTTGAGGTCCCAAATGCGATGCTGTAGGTGGATGACCCGCAGCTACAATGGCACTCCGACGAGTCTGTAGCTGCCACTGTGACAACATCGCAAATTGAAGGCGCCGTCTCTATCCTTCCGGGGATGCTCGAGTAATCCCCGTGCCAGATGCTTGAGAATGGTACCTCGTAGACTTTTTAGCCCCATATCCATCATTAATCCAGAGCTCTCGAATCATGAAATGTCAGTTCTATTCAGAATTAACGAGAGACCTCTTGCAAAGTGATAAAATACCCGCCCATTAGCTCAGCTCCCACGAAGATCACAACAAAGTGGCGACGGCTCTCCTAAAACGCTACTTCGGTCTAACAAAATTCTAAAAAGCTCAGTTCAATGCAGGAAGATATTTATTCCCTTTAGGTATAATAAGCTAACTCGTACGGTAAAGGAAAGAGGATTCTCAGCTAGATATCTCCTCCAATGTATGAATGCAGCTAAACAAAATAACTACCTAGGTAAGCTTTTCCACAGGCTGAGATTTGCAGAATTTTGTGGGAATGTAAATTACAAACATGAACTCTCGTAGTCTAGCATTGGGATTGTTCTATAGGGTCAAATCTAGAAGCCACCTAGGTATTAGTTAAGTTTTGCTAGATATGAGATTCGGAAGTTAGCCGGTATCTCCTATACCTTCGTTTCCTGCGAAAGAATTTCAGAGAAATAAATATCGACGCAGAACCACCTTTAGGAATAGTTCCGTTGTCAACCGTAAGTATACTTACCTACGTACCTAAGGTACCTAGGCACTCAATAATCATCACCCTAGTCCATATCAAGCAGACACATCATGGATTTTTTTATCCTTTATATCTTTACCATACTCCTACCCATCATAATGATGGCCTCCTTTCTCATGGGGGGGTTCCTCCTTGCTACCGCACTCACATCGCTAGCGAGTGGCTTCCTGGCCAGTGAGGCCATGGCACAAAGATGCGATGAAGATCGACAAGTGGCCGACCAACAAGAATCGACAGAACACCATCAACCGGTACGAGTCGTAACTTATCATTGGGTTTACCTTGGTAACGACCAATGGGTACGGACCATTGACAGAGATGCGCAACTCTGACTGAGCTTGAGATTACGATCATTTCGCCATAATACGTGGTAACGCACCACCTTGAAATCATAAGGGATGGATAAGACTATTACTTAGCATATCTGAAGGATTTTGCCAGCAGACGGTACTCAGTCTTATATATGCGGTGTGCTTCTTCGTAATGGTTGATGACAGAAGAGTTATTCGCTATGCTGTTTCTCGATTAAGAGGCTTGAATAGATTCAGGGTTATTAGGAAGCGGAGCGGATCCCAATTTCATATTTCTCCTTAACGGTGAGCGTTGATATACCTTCAAGTGACCATAAGCTACTAACATGTTTGAAGGAGGTGTAATGCTGGGCGGCTTGGACGAAGAGTATTTTGAATGTGCCAAATTCATAATCGAGAATGGTGCCAGCGTCCACATCGGAGGTTTCAGCGGATTGGATCCCTTTTACTGGGCGAACGCTTGTAGAAACTTGAAATTGGTGGAGTCCATGCTTGCTTGCGGAGCAGCAGATATCAACCATTCTTATGGCGACCAATATCCAGCTATTATTTTTATGGTTGCGCAACGGGGTCACGAAGAGACCGTTAGAATCTTGTTGAGATATGCCGACGACCTCACTTTGAAGAACAACTCGGGCCAAACAGCGCTAGATGTCGCTCAAATCAATCATCGTCTAGGGGTTATCGCACTTTTAGAGAAGACCAATTCTTCTTCATGTGTTCTTAACGAGCAGTATTAATAATAGAAAAGAGGCCCATTTTCACGATTTAAAAATATGATAATATGATTTCTTTGATAGACCACCACTAAGAATTAAGAGGGAGAATATCAATGAATTCCCCCTCTATGTAATCGCTAGGTATGTACAAGAGACGAATAAGGTAGGTATAGCAATATCCGGCATGTTCTATGCTCTCGTATGCTCAAATAACCATTCAGGACTTTCTACTTCGGAACTTGGCTCTTCGTGTATGCTCCCTAGCCCAAGGACGTTCTGTGTCCACATGTCTATTAACCCAGGAAAGCCGCAACTAGAAGATCAACTGCTGCCTCTTGCGTCCCTATTGTAACGTTATCAAATGGACCCTGCCACAAGAACCCATAGAAATCGGACTCGTTACGTGCGTTTTCATAGGCTGCCAGTGCATTATTTGTGATGAACGTCTGGTATGGGTGGTCATCCAGCGCAGCGTCGAGCTTCGCTAGCTCCCGCACGAAGATGCCCTTGAACGCTGTGCCGTTGGGCTCGCACTCCTCCTCACTGGTGCACGGCTCGGTAATCGTGCCGTCATCGACTAATGTTGCACTGCTGACTACAGCATCCGCAATCCGTCTTGCCTCGTCGAGGTACGATGTGTCTCCCGTTGCCTTGCTCAGCTCGACTAGTCCACCCAGTATTACTCCTTGGTTGTACGTCCACGTCGTCATCCCGTTGTTAACGCATGCGGCGTCGTCCGTCAGACCGTCGTTGACCAGGTTCTGACTGTTGATCATGCCGCTGTTGTTGAACCACTCCCACTCCATCAAACTGTGGCTCAGATAAACCGTGTCGTTGGGGATGAGATTGTGCAATTTCGCCGTTAATTCTAGATAGAGCTCGTTGCTGATGGCGTTATGATAGGTTCTGTTCGGGATATTCCAGATAAGCCCTCCGTCGCATGTCGTAGTGTTCCAGTAGTCGAACATGTAGGCCTCGTCTTCCTTGGCGATATTGAGATACTCCTCGTCGTCGGTGAGTTCATACAAGCTCGTCATAGCGAGAGCCCACCAACCCGTGTCGTCGGTGCTATCAGCGCGGAAGTCACCGCCTCCCTCCGGCCACCAGCTCAGTGGCGCCCGCTGAATCTCGACTGTATTCAGGGCCTGGGGGAGATAGTCGCGTGACCCCGACTTGATCATGTACTCGGAGAGAGTCCAGAGAGCAACACCACTCTGCCACCAGGATGAGCCTGGATTGTTAGGATCCCAAAGACCTGTCGTGTTGTCATATAGCGCCATCATAGCATCCACAGCCGCCTGAGTTACGTCACGACCATCCCTCTGGGTAATTACTCCAGATGTTGTGGAGAACAACGAAAGACAACATGCTAAAGACCGGAATAGTTTCGACATTTCTTCATGTCTTTCAGTATGATAGCGAGTGGAAAGTTCAAGGCTCAATCTCTCGATTGTCAAGCGAGTGTTGTGTGGCGCAATGAGTAAAGAGCGTAGTCCAGCAAGACGTCAAATAGCTTGCTTGGTCTGAATCGAAGATGATCAAGAGTGTTATATAGACTCAGCATAGTGACAATTTAAAAAAAGGCCATTAGACGCGCGACAATTCCGTCTCGCAACCCAGTCATGATCTTGCAAAGTCCCATGACATCTCGGTCGTTTTCCTTTTCGATCCGATGCAACACTTAAGCGCCTGCAGACATTCTCGGCCGCTTTCCGCACCTCTCGATATTCCCGTTAATTATCGCGGTCTGAACCATCCAGGATGTCTTGCCAAGCTGAAATAATTCGCGATATGTTGACGGAATACAAGGAAGCCGCCTTTCGACGTTCTTCCCTGCCTCGTCTAAGAAATCCAAAGTAAGCATCCTGTGGCATTTGAGTTACCGGAGACGGTTGCCCCTGCAGGAAGCATGATTGGTAGGGGCGTGTTTTGGCGTTAACAGAGCTATTAATGCCGGAGGCGTCATGTTTTCGGCTTACGGCGCCACAGAATAGGGGGGATGGGGGTATCTGGGTATATGCGAGCGGACCATAGCGAGAGAGGCTCGGCTCGAAGCGTGCTTGCGTACACAACGTCAATATACGCACCAATACGGAGTGACACAACCCC